GAATCAAGACCACCTGGCCATCTTTCACATGTGAAACCGGTCGAGCTTGGGCCTGCCCCATGAAGAATCGTCCGCGGAGACAGCAAGTCGACACGCAGCAATGCGGTTTCAGGCATTGCTGGAATGATGCATATGTATCCCCATGACATCGTTTGCCGTGAAACCTGTTACCATATGTGCAGAAGCGCGTCGTGAGTGGCAGTGGAAAACAAATCATGGCTAGATCAGGGTGGGGCCATGACGTCCGCTTTTGGTGAATACCCAACAATGCGCACACGACAGCGCCCGAACAAAACCACCGCAGCACCTCTACCTCCTGCACTCTCACACACCCCAGCTCCTTAATACACTCGTATACTTCTGCCTCCCAATCCACTTGTGATCCTCTTCTCCACTGTACCTCCGAGCAATGTCAGGTGCTCCCCGCGTTGAGCTCCCCAACACGGATACCGATTTCGACCTCCAGCAAACCCCCAACGGCACCCCAGACTTCCTATCGGAAATGGACGGCTCTTCTGCCCCGCAGACCAACGGCAACGCCAACAAGGACCTGCAAAACAGCGCAATCAAGGCGAAGAACGGAATTCTAGAGAGTAAGGTGAGTGGGACAGAACGCCTTTGACCCTTACCGAGACGCAAGCTAACGCGATACATGGCAGTCTTATCGGCCGCCCGCACAACACCTGATTTCTTGAACTCACACCCACAAAGCAGCTTCAAACGCCATGAACGCCGCAAACAACCACCCCAGCGTCCAGAACGCCAAGCAGACAGTTATGAACGGTAGGGTATGTGCACACGATCGTCTATACACGCTTTGGACCATAGCTAACGATGGTTTTGCAGCACACACGTCAGCCTAATGCGCACACGACCAATGCTAAACTCTACAGGTCCCGTTGCACAGAATGTCAAGGCCGAGGGCGCAAAGACGCGCAACGAGTTTGCTGATCTCGCCAACTCCAAGACGATTCCCGAGCACAAGGCAGCGACTGGCCAGAACCTCACTCGTAAGCTATATCCAACCCCCGAAGTAACCATGTAGCTAACATGCACCAGACTACCACAGCATGTTCTACCGCCTGTTGAGCTGGAAGAACCCCCGCGCTACCGGAATAGCGTTCGGTGCGACCGTCCTCTTCATCTTCGCCGCCCGATACCTGAACCTGATCCGCTACATGTTCAAGATGTCCTACATGGTGCTCGGACTTACGGCAGCCGCTGAGGTTGTCGGAAAGATGGCTCTCGGACGTGGTCTTACTTCGCAGTTCAGGCCTCGCCAGTATTACACCATTCCCAAGGCTTCGCTTGAGCGCATGACCGACGACTTCGAGCAGCTCATCAACTTCTTCGTTATTGAGTCTCAGCGTATCATGTTCGCCGAGAACGTCTACGTCACTGTTGCTGTACGTATAACCCCTCTTAACACACCGAACAAGATGGCTGATTTCTTGCTCCCTTAGATGTTCTTCGCTTCCTTCATCTCCTACTTCCTCATCAAGTTTGTTCCCCTCTGGGGCTTGGCTTTGATCTCGACATTCATTACCTTCCTCGGTCCCCTCATCTACATCCAGAACAAGGAGGTCATTGATGCTCAGTTGGAGAAGGGCTACAACGTCGCCAACCAGCAGGCCCAGCAGGTCAAGGGCCTTGCTAACCAGCACGCTGGAAACGCTATGAAGACTGTCCAAGGATACACCCAGCAGGCCACGGCCAAGGCCCAGGAGACCGTCAACCAGTACCGCGGGCGTTCCACTTCCCCAGAGGTCAAGAAGGAGGCTTTCCCTTCTGCCCCAACCCACGCACCCGCTACCGAGGAGTCCTCTGACGAGGAGCTCGAGGATGAGAAGCCCGTCGCGCAGCCTGCTCTATAAGCTGTTCCGCCAACCAGTTCATCTGGAGTAGCCAGGCTCCTCCATGCTCCTACACTCAAACACACCACAATCCATCTCTGACACGTACCCTTCTCACGGTGCTCACGTATAACGACTTACGCTCGGTCTCTGTGTGTAGTCCTCAAGCCTGAAATTGCAATCGAGTCAGCGTTGTGTATCCCTTTTCTTTAAAAGCCTTTACTTGATCTCTAGTCTAGCGCATTCATGTATTCTCTACACTCAGCGTTTGGAAATAGTCCTGTCTGTCTGTCATGGGTGGGGTTCCGGTACATAATCACGGTATGGGAGTTGTCTATCTCGTCATCTGGGTGATGGGAGGTATAATGAAATATTGTCTTCTTACAACCGTCCACTTGAACGCGTAATGTGAAACATTAAATATTAGCGGGTGGAACGAGGCGCCCAAGATCGGCTCCAAATATCAACAGGTTGCCTGAAGGTATTGGATTACGTGCTCGCCCATTGCTGTGCCTCAGGTGCGGCGCTGAACATGTCTCATATACAGTACCCAACATGCAGCATTGAAACTCAGTCAGTAGAGCACATGTGTCCTCCGCGATGGAAGACACGGCCATTACATTCTCGTGGAGCACCGCATACGTCGGAACATTGATGCAGTGAATCCACTCCAGCACATTCGATTCTCCGCATCGACTTGGGACGAGACCAATTATAGATCGGCGGCTAACCGGCACGTGGTCCGTGCACAGCAGGCAGCCATCGTGTTGCGTCAATGGGGGCCAGCATAGCCTTGGCCTGAACTTCGCCTCCTTGTCTCTCACGCCGTGCCGCGCTGTGACAGCGCCAACTTCAATACACCTGTCAACCCTTTTACTTCCGTCTGCCTTTTCTGTTTCTTCTGTTCTCACTTTCTCAACTTTCACACTACTGCGACTTTGCAGCATATACGACTTCTTACTGCGACTTGAGAGTTTACGGATTACCCATCTCAGACAAGATGACGGTCCTCGTCGATCTCGCTCGTCGCGCTGTGTCGCACCCTCACACGGCGACGTTCGTCAAGCGCGCCGTACACGGTGGAACTCCTCCCTACACTACGGGGAATTCTCACCACCAGTCGGAAGGCGTCCCGATCTGGGGTGTTGCAATCATCTACATTAGCATCTTCATTGCGAGTGTGGCTATCAGCCTTGTAAGTACTCCATGTCTCGTTGGCATCTCTGGAACACGTACTAACAAGACACCAACAGATCTCTTACATGCTCAATGAAGTCGTCACCACGCTCTGCATGGTCGAGTCCCCCATGGCCGCCATCACCGTCTCGCCAACGACGTACGAGCCCTCCGACAAAGAAGACGAGAAGGAGACGCTCCTCGAGACCGGCCCTACCATCACCCTCGTCAACCAGAAGCCCATCACCTCGTCCATCCGTGCCACGCTCCGTCACCTTGTCGCCAACGCCGGTCGCTTCGCACGCTTCCGCGGTTTCCGCATCCACGTTCTATACTCGTTCCTCGCCGGCATCGTATCCACCTTCTTCAACGGCGCTCTCCCCATGGTCCCCGGCCAGCCCATCATCGTCGCTGGTATCACCGGTGCCGTGCTCGCCAACGTACACGCAGTCTGGACACACAAGGTAGTCGGCATGCCGACCGAGCAGAGCCTCTGGCAGCGCATGCCCTCCAAGAGCCACTGGAAGACTCTCGCTGTCCCCGCCACCATCGCTTCCGTTATGCCATACATCAGCCTGTACCTCTCTTTCGGCGTAGCCATGCTCATGGGTCTTCACAAGCTCGAGCAGGAGAAGATTAGCTCCTGCGCTGCGTGGACTGGTCTTGCCGTCCGCATCCTCACCCTCTTCGTCTTCGTCATCGTCTGCACCCTTTTCCTCTGCCTCCCCGCCATGGTCACCCTGATCCGCATCGAAGCTTCTATCCTCCCCGAGGACCAGGACACCATCGTCCCCTTCGACCGCACCTTCGGTGGCAAGGTCGTTAGCAAGATGATGGGTGGAACTGGTGTCGTTGGCTTCTTGGATGCATGGAGGTCTTTCAACTGGGAGGCTCGCCGCCGTCTCATCAAGTTGTTCTTCAAGAACTTCTTCATCATCGTTGGCATCTTCATTGTTATTGCCCACGTTCTGGCTGCTGAGGCCTTTGTTATCATGGGTCCGGCTATCGGTAAGTTCATGGTCATGTTGAGGGAGGAGGACAACTCCATGCTCAATGACTTGCTCGGTGCTTAGACTGACTGATCAGCTCGAGTTCCTACGAGTTTTTGAAGTCGCTTTTGGATCGGATATTGATCTTTGCTTGGATTTGGATAGGATTGGACTGGATCAGGTGTTGTTGTTATTATTATTATCACGACAAGGGTTCGATAACCACATTAGCTATATACAAGTTACTCACACTCTCTTTGAATCATTATTTCGTAACTTGTCAGAATCCAGATCGATTCCATCTACGCCAGCACTTGATGTATCCCTAACTGCATGTCAGTCGAGACTCTGACAGCACACTCCGCACCAACAATCACACAGTGTGTTTTTAACTTTGATGTTTATTTCTCCATACCGCAATACCCTAATCATGATACATCCCTCCATCAATCGACCCACCAGTGTCTAATCAACCCATGAGAGCGAAAACGCCACGCTATGCTACCCTACCCATAAATGATCAAATCCTAACAAAAGACGCCAACCATCGCCACAAACGCATCCGCCATTTCTCTAAACACCATAGCTGGAAAACCAAAAAGGACAAAAACTCGCAGAAACAGTAAAACGCAAGATAGAAAAGGGTATAATCGCCTAAACATGCCTGCCAACCCCATGCATGCATTTTGTCCTTCGTCAAGCTCGCTCTTGACATGACTTTTCTCTCTTTTCCTTTGCGCGCCGGAAAATGGGAAAATGGGAATGAGCAAATGCAGTATACGCCAAAATGCGTAGGTAAATGCTTTCCCCTTCCCTGGTCATTCACTTCTCCTGTCCATGCCCAACTTCGTTATCAAGGAAGAAATACGCGCGGAAGTTTTGCGCGGGGAGTACGTGTCATCCGATGATGCGTATGAGCGCCCTAGCCCACTGGTCTTAGCACATGCGTCAAGAGAGGCTGATGCATACTCGTTATGCGCTGTCATATCACCGACGCACTCTTCTTGTGCTCGAACACTTTAACCGCCTTCTGTATATCGTCCTCGCCCTTGACGACCGCAACACCCACGTTGATACTGCGTGTTTTCTCGTCCACGCTCTCGACTTTGAGGATAGCATCTGCTTCCGCCTGTTTAATTCGCTCTTTCTCTGCTTCAAGCTCTAGGTTCGCTTTGTCCTGGCCGGTAACCACGCCCTTCAGAATAACTTCGAGATCAGCGAGGCGGACGGGCTTGATGAGGAAGAGGTTGATGCCGCTGGAGTTGGCTTCTTGTTGGATGTCTGTATCGGCGACGCCGGTGAGGGCGATGATGGTGACTTTGGGGAGGTTGGAACGGATTTCGTGGGCGCGGATTTGGCGGGTGGCTTCGAGGCCGTCCATGATGGGCATGTTGATGTCCATGAGGACGACGTCGATGCGCGAGTCTTCGTCGCTGGCGGCTTTGTAGGCTTCGAGTGCTTCGAGGCCGTCGGCGGCGAGCACGTGTTGGTGGCCAAGCTTGTCGACGAAGGTTCGCAGCAGGCGGAGGTTGATGGGGTTGTCGTCTACGCAGAGACAGCGCAGTGCGCGCGAGGGTTTCAGGTATTTGGATGTTCGGGGTGGGCTGTTGTTGATTGAGCGTATCTCGGGAGCACTACTAATGCTGGTGAGCTGCGGTCGAGATGGCTCTACGACATGCAGGTGGTCGGTGCGACGGGGAGTTGCTTCCTCTTTTAAACTGAGCTCTGTTATCCGTGGGATCATCAACTTGACGTCCATTTTTTGTGTCTCGGCGCGTCTTGCGTGTCGATCGAGACATGAGGCTAGAGCCTTCGACATCTTGTGGGGTCCGACGGGCTGGCCGATACATTCGAAGATGATCCCCGGCACCGTAATGGCTGTTGTAGATTGTGCTGCTGCGGCGCCCTGGCACACGACTATAACAGGGGTTGGAGACACTCGACCGGGAGACTGGCTGTACGTAGTCCGTAACGCTTTGGCGCAGGTTTCGGTAGCGATGATCAGGTCTGGTTCGGCCGCATTGTCGCCCTCCTCGCATCTTTCGATGCCGAACCACTCAGCACAAAGGCTGTCGAGCGCCTTTAACGATAGCTTCGACGCTGTCTTGTTCTTCAAATCTCTAACATGATACTCCTCTTCCTCATTGAAACCGTCAAACCTCACTTTCAGACCCTTGGTGCGCTTGGTGACCTGTTGTAGCTGCAGATCTTTCTCTCCTTCTGGACCGGTTGCACAGAAGTTGGGAGACATTCGTGACTCTTTCAATGGACATGTGACTGTAAACTTGGTGCCGCGGTCTTTCTCACTACGCACTTCTACCTCGCCTCCCAGAGATTCCACAATCTGTTTGACGATCGAAAGACCTAGACCTGTGCCCTGGCTTAAAGGGTTTTCCTGCGCAAAGGAGTGGAAGAGCCTGTTGTTGATATAGTCCTCTGACATTCCAATACCAGAGTCGGTCACCGAGAACCGAAACTCGCAGGTCTCGTCCTCGTCTTCAGGCTTCCGCTTAACCTCAAGTTTCACCTTGATGTACCCACCCGGTGTATATTTCAGGCTGTTGCCGAACAGGTTCATAATGACTCGCCGCCATGCGCCAGGCTGAGTGCGAAAGACGTAGTTGTCGCTCTGATTGATGTCGAGAATGATAGATATCGGCGGTTTGTTTACTTTAGAGGCGGTTAACTCGTATGTTTGAGCAGACGTCTTCGCGTAGGTGTAGCCTGCGAAGACACTCTCGACCACATCTTCTGTCAAAATGCTCATATCGACGTCGTTGATTAGTGTCATGATATCATTGGTATGAGCTTGGCCCGGACTGATCATATGCTTCGCGCTCTGTGTCCGCTTCTTCTGGCGCTTCGAAACTCCCCGGGTCAAATTGTTGATTTTGGCAAAGTCAAGAACCTATAAAGTTAGTGGCAGTATCTGATACAGGCTGTAACAACTTACGTGATTGATAGTTTCCAGTAGAGTTTTTCCACATGTCTCGATTGTTGCTACATGTGATACCTGCTGGCCGTCTAGAGGGGAATCCTTTAATAGATCTGTCATTCCCAGAATGCCGTGCTAGATACGGTCAGTGCATGCGCTTCGGCTGCTTCATCTTTGTATACATACCAGTGGTGACCGCAGCTCATGGCTTATCGACGAGATGAAATCGGCCTTTGCAGCATCAGCTAGTTTTGTGTCTAGACGAGCGACCTCAGCCATGACAAAGTTGCTGAACGCTGCCAGGTAGCTGAGCTCCTGTTCGGTCGTGAAGATTCTCTTCGGTTCCGAGCTCCAGATGACAGCCGTGGCAAACCAACGTTCGCGATGTGGGTCCCACAGTGGATAGAGTATCAAACTCCGAGCGGTCGGAAAAACCCTCCTCAAGTAAGCTTCGTCATCCAAGCTTCTGGTAGATTCTGTTTTGCGCGGTGTACTGAACGGAAACCCGTCGGCTGACTCGACTTCGTCCACGCCAGCTGTCGATGGCGAGGCGACCGAAGGAGTTGCAGGATCGTCGTCGAGATGGAAAATCTGGCCATGTGGATAGAGTCGCAGGAGGTGTCTAAGAACACTTTCTGAGATGCATTCTCCGGTGTTGGGTAGCGGCTTCGTGTCGCGATCGGTTCTGCAAAGCGCCGCCCCTAATATATCGCAAGGTTTGTCCGGCTCAGGTAGCTGATCGGGATCAAAGTCATCGTCGACAAGACCTCCAAAGGTACTGATTTTTGCGTCAAAGAATGCCACGCCTTCTGCCTCCGTTGAGTCTACGATCATGTTCGCTGCCCGTGTGAAGTGAGCCCTCAGTTCTGGGGCCACTCTATCCTTTTGATCAGTCTTGGTGAAGCCTTTCGTGGAAGTGGACGACGTCGTAGTAGTCATCTCCGGACGCATAGTATCGACTGTCTCTCCGTTGACTAAACTCGGAGGCGCACCGGTTGCAGGTGGAGTGTCCTTCGGAATTCTCATGGCCGGATCTATGTTTCCATTGAGCACGACTGGATCTTGCGCAGCGTCGGAATTGGCAGAAGGACGCTGGCGCTGGGGTATGATCGCATCTGGTAGACCTGACGACTGCCCCGTCTCCTGATCCCAGGGATCGACGGTCCAGTTCTCCAAGCCGCTCTTCCCTTCAGCAAAGGATCCCAGACTCTTGACCATAATCTTGGCCCGGCGATGATCTTCCGCTGCCCTGGTCCTTTCCAAGTGCCGCATCACTGTGCCTGCCATGCTCTTCAAGAAAGCGAGCTGATGCGGCGACAAGCCGTCCCGCGGGTTCTCATCCAGAACGCAGTATGTGCCGATGCTGTGGCCGCTTGGGCTGCGGATCGGTACTCCGGCATAGAAACGCGAGTATGGTGGGCCCTGGACAAAGGGAAAGTTGCAGAAGCGTTTGTCTTTGCTGAGATCGTTGACGACGAGGGAAGGAAGGTCGCTCGGATCGTCGAGAGGGAGCGTGCTGTATTTGGGAGCGAGGTTGACGGTGTAGTTACAGAGGCTCTGTTCTTTGGGGAAGATGGTGGTGCCGAAGCACAAACGGTCGTCTTCGAATTCGGGCTCGCCAGTCTGTAACGACAGAGTGCGCGTGGCTTCGGCGAGGAGGAAGCAGTCGGTCCTGTCGAAGAAGGATATGAGACATCTCCGCGCATTCAGACGCAGCGCTCCCAACTGCGCAAACGCCGTCAGGGCCTTGTCGTCCGACGCTCGCGGGGCGTAGTCTAGAGAGGGCGGCGGGGTAGTCGGGGGCGTCTGGGACTTGGGAGCCGGTCCCGGCGAAGAGTGACGGCTTGCAGGGCCATCTGTCTGGGGAAGGTGAGAGCCTGGACGAGGGTAGTACCTAGATGGTGACATTGGTGAGTGTAGCTCTCCAGGTGGCGCATGCCAAAGGAGATAAGCCTACCGATAGAACGTCTTCTCCCGCTCCCTCGCTAGATCCGCATGGTCTATGCGACGCCGTCGCCTGGCCTGCGTGCGTGCAATCGCATGGTCGATTGAATCCGACATTGATGTATTTGAAGAGACGTGCGGAGAAAGGGTCTACCGCTATGTGTTTACCCACCTTCAAAAGCCACTACCTAGGCATTGGCGTCGGGCACTTCTAGTGGCAGCCAACCACAACTCCCGCTTGGGCACAACCGACGCAGGGAAAGCAAATGGCTACTAGCCGATACGCGTATGTCGTCGGCAATCGGGTGAGCAGCGAGCCTTGCAAATGGCGGACGTCATGCAAGATGCTGACCTGCGAGCCGTGGGAGACAGTTGCACGAGAAAAGATTATCCTCCTGGTACCTGAATGAAGTGCAACCACAGATTGGCTATCAGTGGGCTGGTGCCAGCCCTGGGCGCGCTTGCCTGATTCGAAGTAGTATTCTAACGCCTTGGCGGACCCACCTGGGCACAGTCCGCCACCAACTATTACTCACGACTTACCCTGGTACTATACATCCACCTCTTGTAGATTTTGATTCACCAGACTAGAACATCAACCCCGTTAGTCAACTTCAGCGTTGGGTCTTAATCTCGGGGTCTTACTTTCTTCTCGCTTTCTACTCTCACTCCATCAAATCGACTTCAACCAACCTACACCCCACCACAACCGGAACGTTCAAGTTACTCAACATGGGAAGGCTTGTCACAGTCTCTACATCTAATTTGAATAATTGGGCTCTTGTGAGATTCTCTGTATACTGTGCGATGTACACTGCTTACACTTTTTCAGGATTGGGAGGGGAACCTGAATCGCATCAAGGAAGCGATCAAGGTCGCCCAAGAAAATGGATCACGCTATGTCACCACGCCGGAACTGTCAATTCCTGGATATGGGTGTCTCGACCACTTTCTTGAACAAGACACAGTCACGCACAGTTGGCAAATGCTAAACTCCCTGCTTGTTGACCGCGAACTCGATGGCATCATGTACGATGTTGGCATGCCAGTTAGGCATTCAGGAAATCTTTACAACGCAAGGATCGTTGTACTTGATGGCAAGATATTGTTGATTCGACCCAAGATGAGCCTCGCGATGGCTGGAAATTATCGAGAAGGCCGATACTTCATTCCCTGGTCTGGACCCCAACGCGTCGAGCATTACGCACTACACGAGCTGCCAACTGCTGCGCGCTCTCTTCAAGATTCATCTTTCGTTCCAATTGGGGACGCCATCGTGTCTGCCCTCGATTGCTCGATAGGCTACGAGACCTGCGAAGAGCTATTCACACCTCGGGCGCCACACATCGACTTGAGCTTAGCGGGCGTTGACATCATCATCAACTCGTCAGGTTCTCACCATGAACTCCGCAAACTTAATCAACGTTTGGACCTGATTAGAAGTAAGTTTTGACTACGAGGCGCATGTAAAAAGTATACTGACGTCATGTCTCTAGCCGCGACATCCAAATGCGGGGGCGCCTACCTCTACTCTAATCAGGTCAGTCCCAAGTGTACGAAGTGCATGTGAGACAAATGCTGACTTCGTACCTCCACCTCTGCAGGCCGGATGTGATGGTGACCGATTGGTGAGTCCCGACTTTGCAAAAGGCATGTGAAACATGTGCTAACTTCATACGTCCGCTTATGTAGTATTACGATGGATCCAGCATGGTCAGTGATATTCAGTACAAACTGTATATGACACGTACACTGACTCGTATCTTCTAGATTTTAGTCAATGGCAGTGTTCGCGGGCAGGCCTCTCAATTCTCTCTGAATGATGTCAAAGTTATCCACGCAACCATCGACTTGGAGGAAATATGGAGCTTCAGAACAAATCCATCTCGTGGCCTACAAGCTGCATCAGCTCCTCGATATGAGCGCTTCAGGGCGGATTTCCGCCTGTCGTCTGACGGAGATTTTGATCCCAACATCCGCCCCACTCCAGTACAGTCGCTCCGCTACCATCGACCTGAAGAGGAGATCGCTCTAGGACCTGCATGCTGGCTTTGGGATTACCTCCGTCGGTCCGGTCAGGCTGGCTTCATGCTGCCCCTCAGCGGAGGGATCGATAGCTGCGCCACCGCAACTCTGGTATTCTCCATGTGCCGCCTCGTGTACAAGGCTGTGCAGGACGGCAACAAGCAAGTTCTCAAGGATGTCCGCCGCATCGTAGGCCCTTATCACGGCGAAGACTGGGTACCTACAAGCCCACAGCAAATATGCAACGGCATTCTTCATACCGCATACATGGGAATGTCTCAGCAATCAAGCACAGAGACCAGGAGCCGCGCTAAGAGGTTAGCGGAAGACATTGGCTGTCACCATGTCGAAGCGGAAATTGATGATGTGTACACTAACACGAAGAACGTGTTGACGAAGGCTACGGGCTTTACGCCACGATTCAGGGCTCATGGCGGCTCACCTGCTGAGAACTTGGCCCTCCAAAATATCCAAGCGCGCACACGTCTAGTGCAAGCGTACCTTTTCGCCCAGATGCTCCCATTGACTAGGGGCAGGCCTAATGGGGGTAGCCTTCTGGTCCTTGCCTCAGGAAACGTCGATGAATGTCTGCGCGGATACCTCACCAAGTACGACTGCAGCAGTGCCGACCTCAACCCCATTGGAAGTATTTCGAAGAGCGACCTCAAGAGGTTCATTGGTTGGGCGGAAAAGGACTTCGACCTGCCCATTCTGAGTGAATTCATCGACGCAACCCCAACGGCCGAACTCGAACCACTCACAGAAGACTATGTCCAGAGCGACGAGGTCGATATGGGCATGACATACGCAGAACTCGGAGTCTTTGGCAAATGCCGCAAAGAGCTTAAACTTGGTCCCTACGGAACCTGGGTTCGCCTAGCACACGAATGGTCCGACAAGTATACTCCCGCCGAGGTCGCAGTCAAGGTCAAGCGGTTCTTCCACTACTATGCCATCAACCGCCACAAGATGACGACAATGACGCCTTCTTACCATGCGGAGGCATATTCGCCAGATGATAACCGGTTCGACTTGAGGCCTTTCCTGTACCCGCCTTTCTATCAGAACTGGAGCTTCAAGTGCATTGATGAGGAGGTGGCGAAGTGGGAGAAGAAGAAGCTGGAAAAGGAGAAGCTGGAGAAGGCTTGAGGTATACGATGGCATCAGCTTTGCTCGAGGGAGGTTTATGAGTAGTCGTGGAGGCTACGTGGACTCTCCGAGTCTCGAGTACCAAGGGTAGATGACTGCTAGACTCCTACATGCATGTGGTGGTATGGAATGAAATCATGAAATAATTCCTGTAGTCAGCAAACACTTTCATGAAGATTAGATCTGACGTATAGACTCTAGTCGTATTCAGCTATCCATATGCTCAAAATAGCATTATTGAACGGCATATTTACCATCATACCCATCTCATCGCTCTAATCATAACCAAAGAAAGAACCCATCTCATTTCATCTCAGCACAATATCCTGCTTACTCGGACTATGCTTCTTCCACTCATCCTCATGTATCCTCGCAACCGCGACCCTCTCCGCATATTCACCCACCCACTTGATGAGCATAACATTCAGCATCTTCCACGGCCCCATCTCAAAACACTCATCATGATCCACAACCCTCTCATCCCATATAAACCGCTGTCCATTCCAGATCGGCGTGCCAGTCGGATGCATAGTATTCGACCCCGGCTTGCTATTATCTGGATTCGGTTCGCGCCACAGGTTCCGGGACAGCAGCACGAACTCGAAAGGACCGGTAGAAGAAGGCTTCGAGAGTTCAGATTCGTAGTCCATGATGGCGCCGCAAGTTTTGCCGTCTGAGTTGATGAGCTGGGAGGATGGGGTTTCGTTGCCTTCATATGTGTTGGGCTCAGCGGTAAACGCATCCGCACTAATAGTCGCCGCCGTAAAGCGCAGTGTGTTGGACTCGTTGGTGTGGTCTGAGCCGCGCGGCGCGTGGAAATAAGGCGGGTATTTGATACGCAGGGAGTTTTCTTTTTCCCGCCGGACGGTGTATTGCGCCGACTCAGGACCGACGTGGAAGTGTAAGATCTCGGATTGGAACCATTCGCCCTCGCTGCGTGGCAGTTTGTACACATCGGGGCAGGTTGTTGGGTCGAATGGGAAGTTTACGGGGCCCTCGTAGGCAGTCCAGCTCCAGGATGGTTCGTTGTTGTCTTTCCTGGTGAGGTGGCCTGCGGGACACCAGAGGAGTGAGAAGTCAAAGACTGCTTCTGGTAGCCCGTGCAGAAATTGACCCCCGCATTTCTTCGTCAGCTTCTTGAACGGTTTTGAGAGGTCTTGCGGTTGGTCGGCTTTGTTTGGTGATGTGGTGGTGCTGACGAGTTGGTTGTATCTCCGGAATCCGTAGAACCAGTTCTCGATTTCACTGAAGTCTGTTGGGTCTTGCGACTTGTTGCTTGCGATACTGGCGTTGGACGAAGAGCGGAACCTGGTGACAAACTCTATTATCGACCCGCGGCGGCTAGATGAGCTTGAGCGTGGTGAGCGTGTGCCATCGCTATTGCTGAATGTTGATGCTGGTTCTGGTGCAAGTAGGCCGTTTGCTGTTGTAGGCCGCGACTCTTTTTGCGGTGATGTCGATCTTCGAGACATGGGACGGCGTATCCAGGAGGGCGATAATCGCTCAAAAGTAGAAGGTGGATCTGTGGACATGACGAGCAGCGACATTGAGCGGAGGTGGAAATTTAGATGTAGGCTGAAGTAGTGAAGTGGTAGTTGTCGGCGGCGATGGTCCAAGCGGTGAGTGTTGTGCACTGTAAGACTCCTACTGGCAATGTGAAGCGTCAGACCTCGAGTGTGTCACAGAGGCTGCTTTGCCTCTTGTATCTAACTCTACCAGTTGCCGCTGCGATGGCTGCGCCCCTTTACGGCATGTTGTGTTGTCTGTCAGGGAAAAGTGTGCGTGACGACTTGGTTGCGGACACTAGGAGGCTGTGCATGATCTGGATCACCGGCTCCACAGGGCCCCAATTATTTGCTTCGAGTGCACGCCAGCGGTTTCCAATGGAGTCGCATCTTTGCCGAGATCTGTGCCTGGGCATCAGTTGCTTGTTTCCCCAGATATCGACAAGATATGCATGCAGCGCCCAACCTCACGCAGGTGGTGCAAGGTGCCTGTAGCGTCGCTAGACTGGGGACAGCGCCGACAGGGAACTCCTCCACACTGCGCATTAACCTTGAACGACAGACGCGGCCTCACTAGTTACTACGAACGAACGCGTCAGTGTCGCGTGTCGCAAGAATGGCATACCACATGGACAAGCTTCCCCTAGTGTTAGCTTGTCTTCGGACTGTGCGAGCGCCAATGAGGGTGGCGGCTTGGGCTGCGCCACATGTCGATGTGACAGTCGCAGAATGACGGCGGCCAAAGTGAGAGCCGATGGCGAGCAGAACTGGGATGGACCAGCGGAGTGTGGAATTGTCATGCAGTGTGGGTCATGATGTGGCTGATGAGCGCCACCTGCGCCACAACTGAGGGGTCGCACCTTCCAGACTGCAGGGTCTCAGGCTGCTGCTGTGACGCGTCTACTCCGCGTAGCTTCATAATTTCAGCTGGCGAGAACATCCGCCAAAACCACAAACCCTAATCCGGACTTGCGACATCTGGAATACCGCCACCATGTCGGGTTACGAAGGTAGGCAGGAGCGACTGTGTGCGCGACACAACAGCTGACCCAGACAGTCGAACACAACATCTCCACCGAAGACGACAAGTCGCAGCAACCCTCGCGCCGACCAGACCTCTCGACCTTCTTCTCGCAGCTTGAACTCGTGGACACGTCGGATCCCAGCGCGCACACGAATGCCAATGCTTTACCGCAGCCCGAAAACATGGCGGCGGCCTTCCGCTTGCTTGCCAATGCTTTCGAGACCATGCGCGGACGACCGGCGGACGAGAGCAACGAACACGGGGATCTGTTAGCGAGTATGATCGAGATGCTCCGCGAGAATGCCGACGACCCGCCCACAGAACTGAAGGGAGTTCCAAACAGCTTCCTGGATGAATTGGAGCGGGTGCCAAAGAAAGCGCTGAAGCCTTCAGACACCTGCCCAATTTGCGTGAACCCATTCCTTGAAGGTACGTCGCCCGTCTCAAAGACCCGACGCAGAGCTTAAGAGCTTGACTGATGGTAACTGCATAGACAAGTACCCACTCGTAGTCCAGCTGCCCTGTCACGACGATCATCGCTTCGACCTGGACTGCATAGGACCTTGGCTCAAGCTGAACTCCACATGCCCTCTTGACCGCAAAGAACTGTTGAAGAAGAAACAACCGCCGCCACCGCCTGCGGATGACGACGAAGAAGACTACGATGATATGTACGCCTGAAAGGTCTCACTCTGCGTTACGTTGCGTTGGAGTTTGGGAATACCAGCAGATAGCGGTTGAACATAGATGATCTCGATCGTCACGCGCACACGCGGAACCTTCCCGGTATTGACAGTGATCAAATGCGGAGACATTCTGCGGGTAGGAGATTAAGCGGTAGTTTGGCGCCGGCCTTCGCTTCCAATTCATGGATCAAATGGAATCCAACATATCTCCACCTCCATAACCGTCCTCGTTTCTGACTGAACAGGTCACTCGGTGGCCTCCCTTGCCAATTGTTGGCCCCGTTGTACGAGCATAGAAGGTAGCAACAGCTCCTCACTGCCATGTACGACCGCATCCACGAGTGCAAGCGCAAGCTCATCAAATCGGATGAAGGAGCCAGAAGAGCCAGCCATCATCATGGAAGCCTCACCAACAATACTACCTCTTTGTACAACCATGCCTGGCCGAGCTATGACCGTTCTCCAGCTTTCATTCATCTTGGCGAATTCAAGCATTTGAACTTCTCCTCGGCCCTATGCAGAGTCAGCATGTTTGGCAGCTTGCCCCGGATCTTTCTAACTGCAATTTGCGCACATGGTATCACAAAAGAACAATAATCGCCTACCTTGATCTTGCGCATCGAGCCTTTCATCCATAATGACTTCTCCTGATCGCGTTCCACCATACCGCCTGACAAGTGCAAATACCGAAAGCGCTTTGAGTCGACAGGCATGGTCGATGCAAACGCCTCAGCAAACGCCTTGGGATACTCTAGCTCTAACATGGGATCACCAGCCGTTGTTGTCATACACCTTGAACGTCAGCAGTTGTTGGGGAGTATGACGCAGGTGCCTCGGTACCAGATGCATCCGTCTGCCCCGGATAGTTTCGCAAGCACATCGTCGGGGTATTTTGTAAAGTCCTCGAGCAACACTACCTCCAGCTTAGCGTGCATTCCTGTCCCGGGTGGGGGCCGCCGTGATATTGCGATGACCCTCGATACGAGCGGGTTTTGTAGCGCATGGTGCAGCACATGCGCGCCGATGCGACCAGTGACACCAGAAACTACGATCTTGAGCGACATGTTGGTAATAGGATATCCGTATCCGAGAGGCAAGTTTTCCAGACTTTGTCAACAATGCGCGTGGCTTTTCTAAGTGCGTTCGAACACGGCGGAGATAGGCCGCATAAGCACTGGTCGCGTTGTGCAATCATCCGTCGGAGCATCCCTGGAGCCGACATGTCGATAATCCAAAATTGCGAACTTCTCAACACCAAAGTACCTATGAAATCGAGGACTGCGGATAAGAGCACACTAAAAGCATCAAACACGAGTATATTCTACCGTACCCGTTCAGAGATACGCTTATTAAGGTGGCCATATCCTCGGGCGAGCCTCCCTTGCCGTTACCAAGCGCCGGAGCTGTATGTTTACTAAAGTAGAGCAATTCTCGGCATCCGTTGCGGACGAAACCCGGCCGGCGGTCCGACAGGTCAGCTCCACATCAGCATTGCCATCGCAACACCTTCACCCCGCTATGAAAGTAACATGGCCGCCCCTATCAGGTATAGGCCTGTGACAGGAATACCAGATCTCCATAAATCATACCATCTTCATCGTTTGTTGTCGCCAAGACTATCATGGAATCATTGAGTAACGCGAGCAATACTTCTAAGAAACGACCTTCGAAAAGTCTACGCCGGGCATGCTGGGAGTGTAAGACTAGGATCCGTTTACACATTCTCTGGACTACTTACTAAGGATGCCACAGGCAAGAAGCGCAAGGTTCACGGGAATGCGAGCCAAACTACCCTCAACTCTTCCGCCATCATGGACAACACCGGATCGGATCGGATAGATGACGGGAATCCATGCTCGAACCACATCCAAGAAAGGCTGTGCAAACTGGAACAACTTTTTGAAAGATTCGTGTGTCGTAAAAATGCCACCGCAGGCGCCGCCACTACTGTGCCGCACAGCCCTGCCCTCACTGCCTCAGGCTCTACCGAGAAAGACATCAAACCGGATGTATCGGAACAGCGTAGCGATGCGTATAGCACTTCCTCACTGGCCGATGGGATCGTAAGTCGAGTCTATTCGTCCTACCGCCCACACTAACGCTGTCAGCTTGGGGCGCAAACATGGACTTCAGCGCCCTCTCTTCGTACTTTGGTCAACAAGTCAGATAGCAAAGGGCAGCCCTCAGGCTACGACAACAACCACCGAACCCTAGCCGCCTTGTTGCCATCACAGCACGATGCAGATATCATTTTCGAATCGTCTAACGGGTGGATGATCTTAGAAGGCATCTACCGGGCGTCGAAAGAGATATATGTTAACAACGACTTGCAGTCATATGCTCTGTGTATGCAGGCTGTCGCACAAGAGCGACCCATCATCATCGCTCGCACATTGCTGCATCTGGCAATCTGTATCAACTCGCTCCCACCCGATTTCGACCATTCGCGCCTCTCGAGCATCTGGAACATGGAGGTGACAATGCAAAACTATGTATCGACGGTGACACTGTTGGTAACTTCCTCGGACGAGCAGATGATGACGTTGCATGGGCTTGAGACGCTTTTACTCCTAGCTCTCTACCATCTAAACAGTGCCTCGTTACGGCAGTCATGGCTTGTTGTGCGGCGCGGTCTCAGCCTGGCACATCTCATGGGATTTCAGCGCATCATTGCGCAGGACGACTCCAACCCCCCAATCCCAGCGATTTCGAACGCCAAGTCGATATGGCGCCACTTCGTTGACATTGATCGGTATTTAGGACTGCATCTCCGCCTCCCGTTCGGCGCGGACGACTATCCACTTCCAGCAGACGCCAGCCCACATCTGGTTCATCGGTCGAAACTCAACTACCTGACAAGACAAGTGGCGGAGCTTGATCGCGATGTCTCGCCACAGGCATATTCGGCAGCGCTGGCATTGGACGAGCAGCTGGAATTTTCCATGAAGGAGATGCCCAAGGACTTCTGGGAAGTACCAAATATACCATCGACAGCAAGGTCGCCAGAGTCTTTCGCCACACTGGAGCGACTGATGGTGCAAGTCTGGCACTTTGAGATGAAGCTATTCATCCACCTGCCTTACCTACTCAGAGCACATCTCGATAACCGCTACGAATACTCCAAAGTCACTGCCTTACAGGCCTGCCGCAACATCTTGATGAGATGGTTCGCGCTTCGCAACGCAAGCATCACCCAAGCCTGTTGTCGATTCGCCGAGCTATCAGTCTTCATCGCCGCCGTCACACTCACACTGGACATCGTCATCGAGCTAGGCACAAAAGACAAAGTCGAAGTAAAGAAGACCAAAGGAACAGACTTCGCCATGATATGTCGTCTCATCGGCGAAATGGAAAAACTGGCCAGCGCCAGCCCACGCGAAAGAATCGCAGCACGCAGCGCTATAGTACTCAAGAAGATACTCTCCTCACTGGACCCGAGCAAACAGCCTAGTGGCAAAGTCCGCCATACGATACCTTTCTTCGGGACAGTGGAATTGGAGTTTATGAAGCTGCCCATACGCCCGGTTTTCGATATTGATTCTGACGCGGGAAAGTTGATGAATGCTACGGCTACGGGTCAGCATCTTCCAGTGTTTTCATTCATTGATAATTCGCTGTGGCCGCCGGCTGGTGAGGATGAGGATCAATGGGATATTGTCCTGTTTGATGGGCTTGAAGATCGGGATACGCAGGGCAATTGGGTGTTCTGATTTTGGTACTTGGAAAATTTAGTCTGCACAGGGACACAACTTTGCTGCATGCTCTTTGCTCTTCGCATGCTGCCCTGCGTATGCACTCAGTAGCGCAAAGGTCCCTGCGGCGTCTTGTCTTTGTTTTTGTTGGAATATGTTGTGGGCACGAGCGTATGGGCAATAACCTCTCGCACAAGGGCCTACCTGGCGTACTTTGTTTGATATCCTCTTAGCGTAGCCTATGTAATATTTTTAGTTTGGTGTTGTTTCTCCTGCCATGATATGCTGAGGGTGGCGAATTGGCACAGTGCAGCGGGGTAAAGGGGTTTCAGTAGCAGTCGCACAGCAAGCGCGGATGATGTGATTATGGACGCGCACAGGCGAATGGAATTGGAGTGTCGTGTCTGCCAACAGGCAAAAGCAACGCGCACTAGTGTCGCCAGGTGATGCACCGTGTTGAGCTGGCAGAGGGCTGTCGCGGCAAGGCTGAGGGAGGGACTGCAATGTGCCGCTGGCTGATAGGCTGGTTGGCGCCGGCGTGAGGGTGAGGAGGGCCGAATGCATATCTATCAAAGTCTCAGCTTGGCACGTCAAGTTTCGCGTCTTTGAGGTGGTCGCCGGCAGCGTTTACCGAGTAACAGTGAGAATGGTACTGCTAGTCGCACCTGGCTATCGGTGAGGCACAAAGATCGCCCGGCGACGGCAAACGGATCGCCTTCATCTTGGCCTAAGAACCCTGGCCTGCGACCGACGGCTGGCCAAGCCATCTCACACGACCATCTTCGCTTGCGCGACACGACTCAACGCGCTCCACCCGTGCATGTCGCTGCTCTCTCCTCCCCGGGCGTGATTGTGTAGACACCGTCACCGTCACCCACCACCCACGCAGCATGAGCACGATACTCCACGGCGGCCACGGCGACTTCGGCGCCTGCACCACCCGCCATGGCGACAAAGCCGCGACGACGCACACCGAGACGATAGCAGCGAGCCACGCCGCCGCACCAGGCGCCGCCCTCAGCCTGTTCGAGTCCATCATCACCTCGTACCCGCCCATCCTAGAGTCGCTCCTCGCCCAGATCTCCACCGTCACCCTCCTCGAACTCTACCACACATCACGGCACTTGCGCCACTTCCTGCAGCAGTACCCCCTCGCATGGAAGACGCTCTCCTTCCGGCTGCCCCAGCCCGCCGTCGCAGTGGGCTCGCCGGGCAACGAGACGCCTGAGAACCGGGAACGCCAATCCAAGGCCTACTCGCTGAACGCCCTCCTCATACAGACCATATTGCCAAACGGGTCACGATTGACCAGCCTGGACCTCTGCAACACGGCCGTGGCTGGCGTTTCGCTCATTGGCGACGTAGTTGGTCCGCGCAAGGACACCCTCCAGCACCTGTCGGTACGCGGCTGCAAGAACGTCTCCATCAAGTACCACATCGTGCCCTTCCTCGAGCCCTACACACTCAAGGACGCACCCTGGATAAAGAAGGACCTCGCTCTGAAGAGCCTATACACCTACCGCTGTCGACACCACCGCCGGCGGCCCTATCTGCCCTCGTCCCTCATCCGGCGAGACTCCGATTCCGATCCCACCCACCAGCTCATCGAGATATGCCACCAGTTGGGGATATGGACAGATACAGCGTGGTGTCCGACACCGGGCGGCAGGTGCAACCGCAGGAAGGACTACCACGCCGGAAGAGCAGGACCCCAGAACATGGAAGTCTGGGTACCCTTTGACCGGTTATGGCGATCGAGCAACCGCATTGGCCCGGTAGAAGGCACGACAAAGCTGGGCGAACACGATGGCAGATTATGGGAGATTGCCGAGACAGGGGAGGACGGCGAGCCACTCGGCCCCGAAGACGGGAACTCCGCCGGAGAAGGCAAACATGTCCCGGTGCACGAGCGGAGGAGCCACACTGCCTTTGTTGAAGAGGTCAAATGCGCTCAATGCAACGATCCCATCCTGGAGCGATGCGAGTCGTGCAGTGTCCGCATGCACTGCATGGGCTGCAGGAAGACGCTCTGTGCGAGCTGCGCCTTCAACAGACCGATACCGAGGAAACGGGTCAAGACACGGCACTTCGCAAACCTGGCCTTTGGCAACAGCAGCACATTAGGCGGCACACTTGGGCACGCGTCAGGGTCTTCTGGACCACTGGAAGACCGGAGTCAAGAGGAGAAGGCCGACCAGAATCGCTTTTGGTGGGCCCCAGGCGCGAGCCGGTCACCGAACCTTATGAACGAGGGTGCACAGGATGATGACGACTCTGATTCCGAAGACGGGAACAACGGTATGCCTGTACCACCTGCGAACCGCGAGCCACCAAAATTGAACATGCATTGGTGCTGTCTTGAGCCCATCTTCTCTGGCGGAGGCGGTATTGCTGTTCTGGGTACTGGACTGGGTGGCCGAGGAGCGGATAAGATACGCGCAGCGCCTTTACCTCGCACAAAGGAGTATGAGGATCCGGACTTCAGCAACACACTTCGACCCGTGGACTACGTCCGGGAGTTGAAGAACAACGGCCTGTACGAATATGTGCTTGGGGAAGACGTTGATATCCTGTCGTACCTGAAGCAAGACTCGCTTGACCTACAACAACAAACATGTCCGAGAGGACTATGTAACGACTGCTATCGGAGCTTCCGGTGGAAAGTGTCGTGTCGGGCTTGCAAGAATCCCATTTGCAAGGAGCATGATTTCAGGGCGCTCAAGGTCCGCAAGTGTGGCTACCGGGACCTACATACGGAGCGGGATCATGTGCGGTCACACAACGAGCCGCCACAACGCCTCGTAATACCCGAGTTCAACCCAAATCGGGCCAGTACACCGGATCCTGAACGTACACCTACAGCATCGTCATCGCATCTAGACTTTTACTCCACAGGTGACAATGAGTCTGAATCCTCCGAGACACCCATGTCTCAGTCGCAGATTATGGTTGCTCCTCAACACTCGTCCATCGACATGTCGACAACAACATCCTTCAATTCCATTTCAAATCCCGAGCCTTTCCAGCTTGCCACCTCGCTATCGTTTGTTCCCATCAGCTCTGGGCGTCCGCGTTCCTTCAGCGTGTCTGGCGTGCGCGGTCGACCCACCAGTGCTTGGCCACCAAATTCGCAACGCGTCCCTATAAATCACCCCGTTACAAATCCTCTTCCCCTACCGTGCAATCCGCGGCATCCCGTTCAGTGGAGTGGTTGTGGTGCATACTTTTGCCAGTACCCGAGACCCGCAGGAGATGTCCGACCGCAGTGTCCAGCAATCCTCAAGGAGTGCTCGGAGTGTGCAGTTCTTGTTTGCGATGTAAGTTTACTACCAATCCCTGATTATGACAGATCTCTAACATGTCATTAGCAATGCGCGTCGTCGAATCCAACTTGCACATGCACCTTCTGCACCGTCAACTACCACTGTCCGACATGCACACACAAACCCAACGTCCGTGCCAAATGCCGGCTTGAGGCGGAGATCAAACAAAAGAAAGAAGAGCAACTTCGTGCCATCGCCAAGCAGAGGAAAGACAAGGAAGAGCGCGGGCAAGCAGATGAGCTGGCTGGACAGATGTTCGAGTTTTTCACAACAGTCTATGATGAGAGCACTGTCAACCCGACCATGGATAGCCCCTCATCATATGCACACGAGCTACCCATCCCAAGCCCAGACTCTATCACCGTGACAACAGAATTCGGTGTCATGGAGGAACCCGCAAACCTGACCACCATCAGTGCGTCGGGGCCTTCGCCGTACCACGCTGCCTACGACCATTCTGACGATGAAGAGAACAACGTCGAGATGACTGAAGACGTGAACGAGGAGGTCGAAGCACTTCAACAGGGACTGGCACAAATGCACCTCACCCCCGTGCCCGGCATGAGCGCTCATATACTGCATCTACCGGTAGACGTCGAGGCTGAACACGTTCAGCATGACAACGAGGAGGAACAGACCGAGGAAGTCAACGATACCGGTGCAGAGGCGGATATAGACACCGATGAACTTGACGCAGGTGCCGAAAGCACCTTTGTCGATGAGTCCGGAGACGATACTCTAGGCGGCGGTATTCTTACGCCTACGACTACACTCACAGCATGAGTCGCCACTCAACAACTTCGACAGTCTATCTCAACACGCGAAAGCAACGCATCGCTCATACAGCTCACTTCAACAACGCATCTCCAACATCATCCACACGGAGAAATACCAAATTGCACTTTAACGGAGTAAACAAAGGCTAAGGAAACAAACTTGCCTCCACGGAGCAAGAAACGACGGAGGATCTATAGCAGGTGATACCCAACGGGAAGGAAAACATGGTTCGAAAATGGGAAGTTTAGTTACGCTTTACTGGGGCTTTTGCTGTTGGGGAAATGGGAGGGTATTTTACTGGTATATTGGGTGCAACTGGGACTGGAACTGGAGTAGGAGTAAGTTAGGTTGGTATGAAATGGTAAGGGAGGGATATCTGATGGGTATCTTTATGGTTCCGCATTGTGGCGTTTCTTTTTTTTTCAATAACTAGAGTATTGGGGTAGTTCAATGAGAGTTTTGGACGTGGGTTTCCTGCTAGAATTGGTGTATGGGTATTGGTGGTTGATTGTGACTGTTCCACCTGCGATGTGTTTCGAGAGCAAAAGGCGTGGTACTGACTTCGTCATGACAGCACCCTACATGCTTTCCAAGAGGGCAAAACACAGGACATCACAACCAAAACCGCATAACTTGGTATACATAATCATCATATCATATCATTTATCAACAGCCAGAAATCTTACTCCTTCTTACTCAACAGCACCTCCTTGACCACCTCAATAACCTGCTTAAACGCATCCTTAGGCGCAGCAACAACACCCTTATTCTCCCTCAGCGTCCTGCCCAGACCAAAGTTAAGCGGCTTGCCATACGCATCACTAACCTCACCACCCGCCTCCTGAACCAACACAACACCAGCCGCGTGATCCCAAATCTTCTCCTGGTACGTCTTGCTCACCGGCAGTCTGAGGTAAAGATCGCCCGCTCCACGCGCAATGGAACAGTACTTTGCTTGCGAATCCATGCGTACGGAGGGCTTGGTGATGCCGAGTTTGGATGCGATGGCGGCGTTGTCGCCTTGGGAGGAGTGGCCTGCTTCTACGGATTCGCAGAAGGTGGCTTGGGTGACGTCGGAGAGGGGTTTCATTTGTATGGGGTTTGCGGCTGTGAGGGCGCCGGCGCTGAGGGGGCGGCTTGTAGCGCCCTGGCCTTTTACAGCGCCGAAGAGCACACCTTTGCCTTCTTTGTCGTCGGCATCTTGTCCGGTGGTTGTGGTGAGGGGCGCTTGGTCGTCGACGGGAAGGTTGGGGCACCCGATTACACCGACGGTGGGGACGCCGTCTACGAGGAGACCGAGACAAACGGCGTATTGTCCACCGCGCAGGAAGCCTTTTGTGCCGTCGATGGGATCGAGAGCCCAGATACGGCCTTTGTTTCCGCCCTCGCTGTTTCCTTGGTCGAGTGCTGCGAGCATGGCGTCTGCGCTCTTGATGGGTCCGCCGATCTTTTCCTCTGCGCTGCTGTCGGAGAGCTTCGCGGCTTGTACGAGGTCCCAGACGAGGTCGCGGAGCGAGTCGTTGTTGCGGAGGTCATTGGCGTCCTCCTCGCCGACGACCTCGTCTTCGGGGAAGGCGTGCTTTATCGATGCGATGATTAGGGCTTGTGCGCCGAAGTCGCCGATTGTGACGGGCGAGGAGTCGCTCTTGGAGAGGGTGCCTTTGGAGTGGCTCGAGTAGACGGACTTTGTGAGGATGGAAGCGCGTTGGACGGCGAGGAGAGCAATCTCCAGTTCCTTTTCGTAGGCCATGGTGTGTATGCTTCGGTTTGCGTTCGTGTGTAAGTGTACGTGCTGTGAGGGACGAAGTGCGGCGGACGGGGAGAAGTGGTGTTTCAATTGAGAAAGACGAGCGACACTGCGAGAGAACAGCGATGGATTGACAAGTGAGATAGCCAGGATGGCGAGTGCGAGCAGGAAGAATCTTGATGGCGCAATTTGGGCGGGCATTGAACGCTAACACTAACAATCTTCAGCCCCTCCTTGTCGCTTTGGTGGGGTTCTGCACGGAGGTGGGTGGACGCGACGCAGCCGCTGGCCGCCGCTTGGCACTGCGGGCGGAGGTTACTGCATGGGGAATCGGGTCGCCGCCATGGCAACAACACTTTCATCAACGGCTTTCAACTGCTGTTAGTGCACAGACATTCGAGATTGCCGTCTCTTCTGATGAAGTGGAGCTTTCATCATATCTTTTCGACTGCGACTGATCGATGCTGAGTGAATAGACGGACCTGCCATTCGACTCGAGTGGACGTAAACAAAGATCGACATACGACTCTACGACGCGCGCATCCCAATAATCACACCCGAACGATCCGCCTTTCCACCCGAATCATCGCGGACTCTTTCACTCCGGCACCATGACTTCGACAGAGCAGCAGCCTGCGCTTGCGACCACGAAGCGGAAATTCCACAAGCTCCTCGATAACCTCACCGCAAGCAACTCGACGACTTCACTCGCGAGCACCCTCCAGGAATCAAATGCATCGACCGCGTCCCTCTCCGCGCTTTCGGAACCAGACAGCCCTGAACATCCGAACAAGCGTCCGCGCAGCGCGAACCTGAGCATGGAGCGCCAGAGAGGCATATCGGAGGGACAGGAGCGCATACGGCAGCTCAAGGAACAGCTTATGACCCCACGGAGGGAAAAGACAATCAAGGTCGTAGGAAAGACTGTAGTCACACCGAAAGCCTCGACACCGCGTAAAGCACCCAACTTCCAGCCGTACAGCCAGGAACACTTCCTCGAGCGACTAAAGACGTTTGCAGACGTGAGGAAGTGGACGACCAAGCCAGATGCGATCAACGAGGTCGAATGGGCGAAGCGGGGCTGGAGTTGCGATATCTGGAACACAGTAGCCTGCAAGGGTGGATGCGAGAACCGCGTTGCGGTCAAGCTGAGGCCGAAGCGGAAAGATGCGAACGGAAAGGATCTGGAGATGAGCGAGGATCTGGCTTTCGATATCGACGACGCTCTGATAGAGCGATACAAGGATCTCATTGTAGAGGGACATTCAGATGACTGCCTGTGGAGGAAGCGAGGGTGTCAAGGTATGAGGATACGCACAGTAGGACCGGTGACACGACTAACGACTCAAACAGAAGACATCTACCACATCCCCATCGCGTCACGCACCAAGAGCTCAGCCGAACTCCTCGACCGATACCGCTTCCTCAAAGCCATATCCGCCGATCTCCCCCTCCTCGAACACATCACCTACCCCGACCCACCCATCCAGCAAATCCTCGCCCGCATCCCCTCCTCCTTCTTCACATCCAGCGGCACACAACCCCCACTCTCCCCCAGCGACACCGTAGCCTTCGTCTTCGCCCTCTTCGGCTGGACCGGCGTCTCCGAATCGCGCATCTCCCTCGCAGTATGCAACCACTGTTTCCAGCGCCTGGGTCTCTGGCTCTCCTCCGCCACGCGCCTCACGGAGATGAGCAAGAAACTAGACGTACCGATTGAGAGCCTACGGCTTAACCTTCTTGAGAGCCACCGCGAACATTGCCCCTGGAAGAACGCCGATGTCCAAGCCAACGAAAAAGACAGTCCAATCGCCAACATGCCTGCCTGGCAAACCCTCCAATTCATGCTGCTCGGTCGCCACAAAGACATGCCTACCTCTGGCTCTAGCATGCAAACCCCGTCTAAACAAACACCACGCAAATCGCACCAGCAACATGCCAGAAACAACGATAGCGTGGACATTGGCAGTGAGCTCGAGTACCCGCGCGGCAGTTTCGATAGCATCGAGAGGCCGAAAGATGTCGACGAGGATGAAGACGGCGGTCTGAGAGAGAAATGGAGTAAACTCAAGGCGAAACTGAAGCGTAGTGCGAGTAAGAAGAGCTTGAAGAGTATGAAGAGTGGGAAGAGTGTTAAGAGCGGGAAGAGTGTTGCGACGAAAGCGGGGGATAGGGAGAAGGAGAAGTCTTAGGTGGGCTTTTTGAGGAGGGGGTATCGATTCGTGTGAGATTCTGTGTGGTTTAGTCTTGTTTCGATTGTTGAGCGCGGGTTTATGATGGGGAAGGGAAGGGATGGGGAGTTCAAAGCATGTTTTGTAGTTTTATTTGGTATACCCCTTGTAATACACGTTGTTGGAGGTCATGATCAAAGAGGCGATGAAGATGTTGAATGATCGCATCATGACATTCATACATAGATGTGCGTGATAGAGTAAGAAGCTAAGCTCCCGATGGTAACTAAAGAAGATAAAACGCCAACCCAAATGCAAACTAGATGATGAACCAAAGCCAAAATGCCCGAATAATGACTTTTACGTTGTGAAGAGGTGACGACGCCTAAGCATCACCCTCCATGTTCACATCGTCGTCTTCGACTTCAACCTTCATAGCGCCCTCTTCCTCCTAGTCGACCATGGCCTCGGTAAATTGCTCATCGTCACTAATATCCCCCTCATCCTTCACCTTGGCATCGTCCTCGCCTGCCTCTTCAGCATCACGAGCTTGCTGCTCCGCCTTGGCCTTGTCGGCAACATGGTTGATAATCTCGGTGTCCTTCTCGTTGAACAATCTCAGCAGCATGGCCTTGCGGTCATCCTTGTCGACCATGAGGTTGGCGCTGCCAGGATGTCTCCAGAGAGGAAGCACCATGCGGAACGGAATGCCCTTCTCGTCGTCCTTCTCGACGCGGATGAAGCAGCAGCCCACGTCCATCTGCTGGAGCTGCGAGCCGACTTCGCCGAGGCCAGTATCGCCCTCCTTAGGTAGCTTGGGGAACATCTCGCGGATGAGCTGGTGAAGGGTTTCCTTCTTCTCTAGCTTGACTATGCGCTTTCTTGCCCATGGCTCGAGGATACGGATACCCTCGTTTTGTAATCTCCATGGTGCTTGCGTGCGGTCCTGGTCCTTGATCTTGTGTGCGACGAACATGACGACACCGCAATGTATGAACTTCATGCCGCGGTCTTTGTTGAGTGTGAGGATAGTCCTGGCCAGATCAGAGGTGTAGTAGATCTTGTTGAGCGAGAGACCCTCCTTGTTCTTGACCATGAAGCGGTCGCGTGGGAAGCGATCGTCGATGCCAAAGAAGTTCATGATGGAGGCGATGGTTGCGTCGTCAGAGGGGAGGTATTCAAAGTACTCCTTGGCTTGCGACTGGTTCTCAGGCTTCAGGCGGGCAGCTGAGCCGTTAGTAGCAGGCTTTGCGTCTGGTGTTTGTGCTGCCTCAGCGACTGCGTCCTCGGTCTTGGCCTTCTTGGGGGCTTCGGTATCTTCATCCTCCTCCAGCTTACGCTTCAGGGGAGCCGTCTCAGAGGTCTCATCTGCAGACTCTGTCTTGGTAGCGTCGGCTTCAATCACGTTCTCAGCAGGAGTGGGGATCGATGATTCGGTGGTCGTGTCGGCGTTGGCGTGCGACCTCTGGGCCTTGGCCAAGTTCTCTGGGTTCTGTACCTGCGCAATCTTGATGTCATCCACCTTCTCAAGGATGGCGATGAAGAAACCGCCAGTATCTTGCAAGTGTGGGTAAACACGAATGCAGTTTTCAAGAGGGATGCGCTCCTCCTCGGACTTCGGTACAGGGGGGAAGCATCCGGGAGTGACCTTGGTGGAGAACTGACGTTCGGGCTCTTCGGCCTCGTACTTTGCCCTCGCTTTCTGGTATGCCTCCCAGTTGGTAAACATGTGAGCGGTCTTCTCTCCTCCGGCAGTGACTGACGATGTGTCGAGCACCTTCCACACGTTGAGACCGGGCTTTCGCTTGAGGTTTGGCAGGTGGTCTGAGCAGTCCACGAGTCGGACCTTCGAGTTACCACCGCAAGCCTCGATGGCTGCTGCGACGACAGCCTCGTTCTCCACGGGGTTCAAACTGCAGGTAGAGTACACCATGCGGCCACCCTTCTTCAGCATCTGAAGACCTCGGAACAGGATGCGCAGCTGGAGTCCGTGAAGACCAAGACCATCCTTAGGCGTCCACTTCTGCCATACGTTCGGGTTCTTGCGGGCTGTTCCGTCACCGGAGCAAGGCACATCAGCCAGGATCCTGTCGTACTTCAGGTATTGTTTCCTCTGGCCGTCGCTAGGTAGCTCGATCGAGGGGAAGATGGAGGCGTCGTGTTGAGTTACGATAAGGTTGGGGAAGTTGAGGCGCTTGACCTGGTGGACCAACATGCCGGCGCGCTTGTAGTCGGAGTCGTTCGCGATAAGGAGACCTGTTGAGCGCCCGTCGTCGCTGTAGTCACCGTCTTGACTAAGATCGACCGACTCGCCGTTTGCTACCCGCTGTACGCGCTCTTCCTCATCACCGTGAATCATCTCAGCCAATTGTGCCGACTTGCTTCCCGGTGCTGCGCACATGTCGAGGACTACCATGCCTGGCTTGACATCGAGAAAGTGTGGCGGTATCATGCTGACAACCTCCTGTCTGCTGATGTTTCCGGACGCAGCTTCGGCGACGAGGAACTTCTGGAAGTCGGCAAAGGGCGCATGTCGTCGAATGACCTTCTTGTGCGTCTTCATGTGCCATACGAGCTCATCGGGGAAGGCCTGGACTGCCTCGGGAGGCGAAACGGGCTTGCCTTCGAACTGCTTGGATGCGATCGCCGGGATGTAGCGCTGCTTGAAGATTTCGCGCACTGCGAGGGCATCGGACTTGGTGCCAGTAAAGCGGAAACTGTTTGGCAGATCGGTCTGGAGAGCCTTCCACATCTCCTCGAACTCTACTTCTTCCAAGAATCCTCCCATGCGATAGTAGCTCTCGAAGAGCTCGTTCTTGCGCTCAATGGTGGACCATGGCTCTGAGCGAGTATCACGTCCTCCACCACCGCCGCCGCCGCCGCGACCTTTACCCTTGCCGCGAAATGGTTTGCGACCACCGCCCTATGGAAGTCAGTGGGCGTTATCTATGTGTGGCGCATGCTGTGTCTACTCACGCGACCGCCGCCTCGTGCCATTGCTGCGAGTAGGGATAGGTAAAAGGTTGAATTTGCAAACCTGCCGCAGCTGTCGCAAGTTGGTAGCTCTCAGGAAAATGTCGATAGCTTCGAGAGGCGGGCCAATAGAGCGGGGCATTAGCGCTGCACTCGATCTTGGCGCCCACACTAGCGCCCGCACATGAATTTCGAACTGGGCTACCGAACTTTCTTCCTCCAGCTTCCGACAACAACAAGGATACTAACCACCAGCAAAATGGCCCGCTCATCGTGAGTATACCGATCTCAATTCACCGCAACTCAGCTAACAAATGCAGCGTCCCCACCCAGAATGACATCGCTGTCCCCGAGTCGGTGCTCAAGAAGCAGAAGGCCCACCAGAAGACCAGCGACTCCCAGGCCGCTGAGTTGAAGAAGAAGCGTGAGGTATAACAGTCTCCCAGAACCTGCGCAAGCAGATAGGAGTTCCACAGTTGGCTAAGATTTCTTAGGCCAGCAAGCAAAAGCGCGAGGTCATCAAGGAGCGCGCCGCCAAGTACACCCAGGAGTACGCAAAGGCCCAGCGCGATGTCATCGAGGCCAAGCGTGCCGCGAAGCGTGACAACTCTCTCTTCGTCCCCGCCGAGTCCCGCCTCGCCTTCGTTGTCCGTATCAAGGGGTATGTTGCAGTTTTCTACATCTGCAAAATCTTTCACTAACCCGCGCAGTATCAACAAGATCGACCCCAAGAAGCGCAAGACCCTCCAGCTCCTCCGTCTTCTCCAGATCAACAACGGTGTCTTCGTCAAGCTCACCAAGGCTACCAGCGAGATGCTGAAGATCGTCGAGCCTTTCGTCGCCTACGGATACCCCAACTTGAAGACCGTCCGCGAGCTTGTCTACAAGCGTGGTCACGGAAAGGTCAACAAGCAGCGTCTGCCGATCACCGACAACGAGCTCATCGAGGCCAACCTCGGCAAGTTCGGTATCACCTGCATTGAGGACATCATCCACGAGATCTACACCGTCGGCCCCAACTTCAAGGCCGTCTCCAACTTCCTCTGGCCCTTCAAGCTGTCTTCCCCCACTGGCGGTTTCCGCACCCGCAAGTTCAAGCACTTCATCGAGGGTGGTGACCTTGGTAACCGCGAGGAGTTCATCAACCAGCTCGTCAGGCAGATGAACTAGGCTGTTGTGCTTTTTGTTCAATGGGTGGAGTAAACGGTTAGCTTCAAAACGATACCATGAAGATCACGACTACTGGTCGCCCACTCCTCGACGGAGGATGGAGGGCAGGCCGAGCCACATGCTCTGGTTAGCTTAGACAAGTCTTCTGCACATCAGCTGAAGGAAGAATTCAAAAAGTTCATTCCAAAAAAGTCTATTTCATTCTCGATCGATTTGTATTGTGTGGATTTTGATGTCGTGCCACTAATAACTTTTGACTCGTTGACTCAGTACCCCATGTCAAACACGTCGTCCTTCTCCGCCCTGTTCAAATCTTCCTGACTTCGGCTCTTTAAATGCCACAGCTCCCGTAAACGATTCAGACTCAAACGTTCGACTCGCCATTCCGATGAACTTCGTTGCTCTATCTCGGCTTTTTGTCGAGAGAGGAGTCGTGCCAGTGAGAAAGGGTTTGGTCTGTAGTGGACGACCATGTAGAGACACATGATTGTTTTGGGAAACGTGTTGGGCTTGGGAGGACGGCGAATCGGGCTTGGTAGCGTTTTGCGCTGGGGTGAATGTGGTGCTTGTATGTGATGGGGTTGGATTTGGATCTTGGTAGTGACGTGGCGACCAAAGAGACAGTAATGATAAAACGGTGTAAACGGGAATCATGAATTGATAGGAACGTCAAATAGGGTAAAGTTGTGCATGTGGTAGTAAGCAGTGAGGTGATGCTCATACGGATATGAAAGGTTACGTGGTAACATGGATATGAGTCAAACACGCCCTTATGACTTATGACCCTACACTACCTGACTTCAGCTCAACATAGATCAAACTCTGGGATATTCCATGAGCCCGAAACTGAGATGGTATCTGGGCATGGTATGGCATGA